CCTAAGCATTTCCCACAGCTGCTTCCTCAGGTCTGAAGGAGGGACTGGTCGGAGCTCAGTGTCTGGAAGATTCCACGGACCCCAACACATTCCCAACGGCCCTCTAGCTTACCGGTGACACAGCTCACCTCAGAGCCAGGGCCGTGGACCACTTGTAGCCGCCGGTCCAGTTGCAATACAGCATCTTGGGAAACGTCCGGTTACCTTTAAGGAAAAAGAAAGCTCTCCATTTAGACACATGGGTCTAACCATACCCTTACACAGAGACTTAACGGAACTAGTGGCCTTGTAACTAAAAATCTAGAAACTCAGCCTCCTTATAGTAATGCCCACGCGGTGAATGGTAAGAAGAAAGACCCGATCATCCCTAAGGACAGATTTAAAATTTAAATGTTAGGTCAGGCCCGGCCAGCGTGGCTCAGTGGTTGAGCGTCAACCTATGAACCAGGAGGTCACCATTCAATTCCCGTCAGGGCACATGCCCAGTAGGAAGTGTGCAGGAGGCGGCAGATAATGTTATGGTCTCACATCAATGTTTCTCTCTCTTTCTCCGTTCCTCTCTCTCTAAAATTTAATAAACTATTCAATGACAGCATTCGACTTCATACCTTACGGATTTTGTCTTGTTTTATTGCTCCATTTTAAAAGATAAGAGCAGTTCATTTTCGTATTAATGAAGCTTGGCATGGCTCCAAAGTGCTGATAAATGCTCCCGGTGAAATAATTTAACCCGGATTCTCCAACGTCCGACTGAAGTTCCACACGCAAACTTAGAGAAAAGCATCTCGCTCCCCAGGCCCGCCGACCGGCTCACCCAGGCAATGCACGTGGTCCCGCACCGTGCAGTTGGCGGTGTAGCGCTGCCGAGGACAGGACACCGTCATGCAGCTGGTGGAGTTGGAGCACTCGTAGTCGGTTTCCGGGAGCTGCCAGCAAAACCGGCAGGTCATGTTGATGACAAAGTGCTTCTGCGATCGGAAGTCCTCATCCTGCGTAGCACAGGACACAGAGCTCATCAGTCACCACAGGGAAGCTTATCAACACGTCCGCAAAACTACAGTCACGTGGCACACAGCGTGCCGAATGCTTCATGACCTGGCAGGAAGTGGCAAGAAAATATCTGGATACAAACCATTCTGTAGCCAAAGCAAATAACTATGGTCTGATCCTATGATCCTAAAAACATACACCCACAAATATACAGGAAAAACGTCTAGAGAAAGGCACATCCAAATCACTAAGGTTATTTCAGGGCGGGAGATTAGGTCACCCCTTTTACCTGGCTAACTCAGTAATAAGAAACAAGCATACTTCTTACAAAAAAGTAGGAAATTTTATAAAGCTAGAGCCATGTACGGCTGGAAGGACAGATGGGACAGCTGTTCAAGGTCACTGAACTGCAAGTTCGGAGTGGAGCCCAGGCCCCACCAGTCTCAAATCGCCCCTAATATCCCGACCACAGTCCAGGGCCGTCACTGCTGCTCCCAACACGAGCACATGATCCACCCACAGGCAGCCCCAGAAAACCACTCAACTCAGGAGACCCACGGGGGACTCAGCACGTGTTCATTGGGGGCCTGAGCTGTTGAGACCAGACTTTCCAATTCCACTGTTAAGGGTCCTTATTTTGTTGTCTGGTTACACAGGGCGCATATGCTCTTTGTAAGTTGCACAAATTACGGGGAAAAACCCTGTAGCTTCTCCAGAGAGACCCACTCTCAATTTTTTTGCCACTTTTTCCTTCTGTAATACAGAGTCACAGAAGCAGACGTACACTGAATGCATTTGGTAGCCTATCTTACCTGCACTTGACATTACATTGTCATATGTACTTCTCAAAACCATCTTTAAATGGTCACACAATCTCCTCTGGAAGTTATCATATTTATTAATTTTTTTCATCTATGCAGAACTGCTCTTTTGTGCAGAGTATTGCTGTAAACATCTGCGTATTTATAGTGGTGCATTCATAAGACACATTTCTTAGCAACCAATTTTTGTTTTTAAATATATTTTTATTATTGATTTCAGAGAGGAAGGGGAAGAGATAGAAAGATCCATGATGAGAGAGATTTACTGACCGGCTGCCTCCTGCACGCCCTCCACTGGAGATGGAGCCCACAGCCCGGGCATGTGCCCTGACCGGGAATCAAACCGTGACCTCCTGGTTCATAAGTGTGTCGGCCGGGCAGCAGCTGTTTTTTAAATTAGTTAATAAATGTATGTCTCACTAAGTAGTCAGTTTTGGGAGATAAAGTCAAAGAAGATGAAACAAACAACAAAGGAAGTGAATTCTGGAAAGGTTCCCCTTCCACAGCAAAGTTTTCCCCTTTTCCCTAAGTACCTACAATGTGCCAGACCCATCACACATAATTTTAAAAGCCTTTACATAGACCAGATGGCGTGGCTCAGTGGTTAAGTGTCAACCTATGAACCAGGAGGTCACGGTTTGATTCCTGGTCAGGCCACAGGCCTCGGTTGCGGGCTTGATCCCCAGTAGGGGACGTGCAGGAGGCAGCCGATCCATGATTCTCTCCCATCATTGATATTTCTCTCTCTTCTCTCCCTCTCCCTTCCTCTCTGAAATCAATAATAATAATAAAAAAATACATATATTTTAAGAAACTGCCATCTGAACCCTTGTAACCAAGCCTCACCTGGAAGCTCCGGTCTTTGGATCAAGCTGGCTTTCACCCTAAAATATTACTTACAGAACGCAGAGCACCTTCTTTCAGAATCTTTCCCGTCCGCCAGTCTAAACGCTCCTGAGAGCTCCCGGTTTACAGCGAGTTCACCCAGAACAAGCCGGTGGCGGCACTTACCACACAGGTAACGGAAGGCTTGACCGTGCAGTCGAAGGCGACGGGCTTCCCGTAGACACAGGAGAAGTTGGTCCTGCACTCCATGCAGTCGGCAGGGAGCCTGCTGCACAAGCCATTGCTGGGACACTTCATCACGTAGGGCGGGATGTCGGTGCTTTCTGCAAGAGGCCGGAGACAGGCTCGTTCTCTCAGGACACGGACTTAACAGACAGACACACCATTTCCCAAGGTCAGGGGGCATGATGGGGGGCAAGGAGAGAGGAGGCTGGCTGGCATGGAAAAAACAGAGCCCCCGCCCGAGAGACAGCTGCAGCCACAGCAGGGCTCTGCCCCCAGCCGGCTCTGGACCCGACGAACAGCTCAACAGCTTAGGGGAAAAAAGCATTTAGCCCGGCCAGGGTAGCTCAGTGGTTGAGCATCGACCTAGGAACCAGGAGGTCACGGTTAGAAAGGGCACCAGGGCACAGGCCCGGGTTCGGGGCTCGATCTCCAACGCAGGGCCTGCAGGAGGCATGGCCAAGGTGGGGGTAGGCAGGAGGCAGCCGATCAATGATTCTCTCTCATCATTGATGTTTCTAGCTCTCTCTCCCTCTCCCTTCCTCTCTGAAATCAATAAATAAAAAAAGGGGGTGGGGGTGGGAAGGAAAGCGATTTCATACACTAAAAGACCTGTCATCCAAAAAGGAAAAGCGAGGGAGAACCCAGCAGAGAGAAGTGCACACATTTACCAGAACGTAAGACGCCTAGTACCTGCCGCCCTGGGAACCACTGTGAACGTGCGCGTGGCGCCCGGATCCCGCACCGCCCGAGCCCGCGGCTGCGAGTGCTCTAGGTTTAAGGATCCTACGATCAGAGACACCGGTTACCCCGGGACAGGAACACCCCCGCGGGAGGTTAAAGGCGGGGTCCCCGCCACGCAGTGACTTGCTCGCGAAAGACCTCAAACTCAACTGCCGGGAAAGCGGAAGAATAAGACGCCAACAGGGTCCACGCCCATCGAGGCCCGTGGGCAACTGGGGAGCAAAGCGCGGAGTAGGGGACCCACCCCGCCCCCAGCCCTCCGTCTCACGCCCGTAGGGGAAATTGCGGCCCTGGTGTCCCCGCGCGGAGGGGCGTCCCCCGATCGGGGGCCAGACTTGGGCCGCAGCGCCCCGCCACCCCTCCGCCCTCTTCCCGTGGGTCTCGGGGGTCCCGCGGGCCACCCAGACAGACCCAGACCACCTGGCCTCT